TAGGTTATCAACGTTTTTATTTCTTACAAAACAAAATATCAGAACGATAATATTAAAGTATGCATGTAAAGGCCATCTTCTTCAATAATACCTCCCACCCAGCATGACGTCACAGCGCCCACGTCTGCAACTATCGTCTGCTTTACTTCCGGCCATTGAATGGGCGGGTGGTGAACGTCTGGGGTCTGCTAGTAGGAAAACTGCTGCTGGGGACAGCGTTGAGTTTACAGATGGGGTCGTTAGAGATTTCGGCCTTACGTCTGTGTTCAACAATCTCTTTTCCTCGGCAGACGACTTCAAGGTTGGCCCCTCGGGCGTCACGGCAACCCCCGGCACCCTGGGATAAATGGTATGGGTTTTAGTATGGATATTACATGAATGGTGTGTGTGGGGGGGGGGGGAAGAGAGGGGGGGGTCATTACTGACTTTGCAACAGAGCTCATAATTGACATTAAATATAAGTTGAAATAAAAGGCGTTGGTTAGTCGATAAGATTTTAGGTGCGGGTTTTGAGCTCGGCCCTATAGAGACCTGGAGTTATAGGCCTTGAATTAGTGCAGATAAAGTAGAGTTCATGTGCTTCAAAGACCTCGGCATATGAAGGGATAGCGTGGTCAGCACTTTGCCCAGCCGCCTTTGTTTCTCTAACGTGAGTTTGGTACTCATCAGGGTGGACTCAGGGATGACTTGAACCCGGATTCGAACTCGAGACTCTCTGGTTAGCAGTCTAGCTCTCTACCGCTAGGCCACTCACACAACCGTATGCTGGGGAAATGTCTTACCTAACCAACACAGTGGATAGTCTACCACATACAACCATATGCTGGGAAATGTCTTACCTCACCAACACAGAGGATAGTCTACCACATACAACCATATGATGAGAAAATGTCTTACCTCACCAACACAGTGGATAGTCTACCACATACAACCATATGATGGGAAATGTCTTACCTCACCAACACAGAGGATAGTCTACCACATACAACCATATGATGGGAAATGTTTTACCTCACCAACACAGTGGATAGTCTACCACATACAACCATATGATGGGAAATGTCTTACCTCACCAACACAGAGGATAGTCTACCACATACAACCATATGATGGGAAATGTTTTACCTCACCAACACAGTGGATAGTCTACCACATACAACCATATGATGGGAAATGTCTTACCTCACCAACACAGAGGATAGTCTACCACATACAACCATATGATGGGAAATGTTTTACCTCACCAACACAGAGGATAGTCTACCACATACAACCATATGATGAGAAAATGTCTTACCTCACCAACACAGAGGATAGTCTACCACATACAACCATATGATGGGAAATGTTTTACCTCACCAACACAGTGGATAGTCTACCACATACAACCATATGATGGGAAATGTCTTACCTCACCAACACAGAGGATAGTCTACCACATACAACCATATGATGGGAAATGTTTTACCTCACCAACACAGTGGATAGTCTACCACATACAACCATATGATGGGAAATGTCTTACCTCACCAACACAGAGGATAGTCTACCACATACAACCATATGATGGGAAATGTTTTACCTCACCAACACAGAGGATAGTCTACCACATACAACCATATGATGAGAAAATGTCTTACCTCACCAACACAGTGGATAGTCTACCACATACAACCATATGATGGGAAATGTCTTACCTCACCAACGCAGAGGATAGTCTACCACATACAACCATATGATGGGAAATGTCTTACCTCACCAACACAGAGGATAGTCTACCACATACAACCATATGATGGGAAATGTTTTACCTCACCAACACAGTGGATAGTCTACCACATACAACCATATGATGGGAAAATGTCTTACCTCGTTGAAGTACATGCCCTCCCCGCAGAAAACGCATTGTTCAAACAGGTAGTTGAGCGAGCACATGAAGAAGGCGTTACAGAAACGCTCGTGAGCCACGGCATAGGCGAAGCTGGGGTTTAAGCCGGGTGGGCTGTTGGCGCACATACCTGGAATACATGGTTGATTAATTAAAACTCCAATCATTATGGAGTGGGGTGGTCAAGTAGTTAGGACCGTCTGTACCCAGGGCTAACAAGAAGAAAAGTAAATGTAAAGCCTTTTATGATTTTTTTTTTATAAACTGGAGTAAGAACACTCTGGAATTGAGAAGAGATAGACATAAGTAAAGTTACTTTTTTTAAACCTGAAGTAACATGGGGCATATGAAGTAGAGTTCATCTGTGACCTCAGCATATGAAGGGATAGTGTGGTCAGCACTATGCCCAGCCGCCTTTACTTCCCCTAAAGTCAGTTAGGTACCCATTAGAGCTGAGTAGACTCAGGAACAGTCTACTGACTTGAACTCCAACTCGAGACTTACGGGTTAGCAGTCTAGCTCTCTACCACTAGACCACTCCGTCCCTTATATTAATAAAACGTACATGTCAAAATGTGAACACCTTCACAATCAAACCTTACCTCCGGGCCGACATCTGGGGTTCTGGACCTGCCATGGGAAGGCACAGGTACCGTTGCGGGGCTCAAAGATCAGCTGAGGTGGGCACGACGACAAGGTGGGCACGCCCCCGTCACACTGCCAGAACTGGGTGCAGTCGCTGCTGTGTTCGTAGTTTCTCATTTCGTTGTTGGGGCATTGGACTGGGCAGAGGATAAAAATATTTGGTTGGGGCATTGGACTGGGCAGAGGATAAAAATATTTGGTTGGGGCATTGGACTGGGCAGAGGATAAAAATATTTGGTTGGGGCATTGGACTGGGCAGAGGATAAAAATATTTGGTTGGGGCATTGGACTGGGCAGAGGATAAAATACATGGACTAGACGGAGGATAAAAATACATGGACTGGGCAGAGGATAAAAATATTTGGTTGGGGCATTGGACTGGGCAGAGGATAAAAATATTTGGTTGGGGCATTGGACTGGGCAGAGGATAAAAATATTTGGTTGGGGCATTGGACTGGGCAGAGGATAAAATACATGGACTAGACGGAGGATAAAAATACATGGACTGGACGGAGGATAAAAATATTTGGTTGGGGCATTGGACTGGGCGGAGGATAAAAATACATGGACTGGACGGAGGATAAAAATACATGGACTAGACGGAGGATAAAAAATACATGGCTGGTGCATTGGACTGGGCGGAGGATAAAAATATTTGGATTGGACATTGGACTGGACGGAAGATAAAAATACATGGACTGGACGGAAGATAAAAATACATGGTTGGGGCATTGGACTTAGCGGACGTCAATTTATTTTTACAGATTCCAAAAGATATCTAATGGTGATCATGATGGTTTACCGTTAAAAGAAAATTGGGGAGTGGGGGTACATGAGCACAAATGGATCTCGCGCCTCTTAGTTTTACAAATATAAAATGGCTTCTGAAGCCCAGTAATTCGTATACTGAAGTAGTTTGTTTTATTTATTTTTGTTCCCACTTTTTAACGTTGTGACGATAGACTTTTCTAAAAATAGTTGTTAGGCCAGGGATAGTATTGTAATATCAAGTGTAGTGTTGGGTCATACATTATGGTTAGGGTAAGACGTGGGTTTAGGGTAAAGGATAGATATCTTGTTTTTAGCGTTGATATTAGCAAGCTATATCAGTATTTAGTCTAAAACCAGTAACCTGACACCCCTTGTTAAGAAGATCCCATTAGTAAAGATTTTCAACCACCGATGCAGCACAAATCTACAGTGGTGTCTGTCTAATACTTACATTGGCCTCCTGAAGTCAGCTGACCCCCTGAACCACTCTGAAAACCTTGACCCCCTTGACCCCCAGGGCCACTGGGAAAGTTTGGACCTGGGTTGCCCTGTTGACCTTGAACCAAGGTCACGGCAACGAAGACCAGAAGAGTGGCTGCTGCTTGGATGAACATGTCTGTCGAACGTAGACAAAAAAAGTTTACAATTGGACAAATGTGTTGTAAACCTTAAACAGTTTACATTTGAGCAAATTCATTTTTTAACGTAAATAGTTTACAATTGGACAAATGTATTTTAAAACTTAAATAGTTTACATTTGAGCAAATTTTTTTTTAACTTAAATAGTTTACATTTGAACAAATGTATTTTAAAACTTACATAGTTTATAATTGGTCAAATGTATTTTAAAACTCAAATAGTTTACAATTGGAAAATGTATTTTAAAACGTAAATAGTTTACAATTGGAAAAAGTATTTTAAAATTTAAATAGTTTACAATTGGACAAATGTATTTTGAAAACTAAAATAGTAACACACAATAGAGGCATTTTAAATACTTAAATAATTTATACATAAGGAGGTATTTTAAATCCTTAAATTTAAATGGCTTATATCAACTAATAATAATAAGTTTTAAATCACGAGTGTATCTGTAGATAAACAAAATATTTTAGACACGTTCAATAAAGATGGAATTTATTTTGCAAGCACTAATCTTCTATGACACCGCTCAAGGCAAGACGACACCGGATTTGTAAAACTCACTTGAATTTGGTGACCGTTAAAGAAAACTGCGTAACGGGCATTTTGTTTTCTTAAATCAAGCACTTACAAAGAGTGACTCTATGTACAATGTAGCATAATAAAAGAAATTTCCACGAAATATAATAAAATTGAAGTGTATTAGTACATAATTTGTTTGTTTTTGAATTTTTCCGTTGCGCAGTTTTCGGATTGCGCATTTTTCTGGGAATTTGTATCACAAAAGACTGGAATAAACAACGGAAGATACTAACTGAAATGATAATTTTAAAATAGAACAATTTAAGCGAAACACTCGAGTCTTAAGTGATTTGAGCTGTTTTATTAAAACAGTGCACTAATCAATGTGTAGTTATGTATCATTTTGTACCAAATCATTGCTAAATCAATGCATTTGGCTATTTTAAGCGCGATGCGTTTAAAAAATTATCATTCAAACGTCACGAATCAAAACTTTTAGCACAGGAAAAATAGGTCAAAGAAAGATGACAAAAAGTATCGTCTTCTATCATCGACTCCAGGAATATAGGCTTATGATTTGTTAGATAAATACTTTTAAAATGGCTTTTTCAAGCTTGTTTAATATATTTTTATTTATTTAATTGGCGAAAACACATCTTCCTACTGTCAACGATAATGATTGGGTCCCTTTGAACCAATGGGATTAATACGTTGAGATAATTAATTAAAGGGATTAGTACAATCGAGATATGAGGTCCAGTTGTGACGCGAACAGTTCTTTCTTTATCTGCATCTGTATACAGTTACACGTTTGAAAATACAGCATAGCTCATTCACAGCATTATTTCCATGACATATGGGGCAGATGAAGTAGAGTTCATCTGTTTCAGATATCTCGGCATATGAAGGGATAGTGTGTTCAGCGCTATGCCCAACCTGGGCCCAGAGCTAGGTGGACTTAGGGAAGTTCTACTGATTGAACCCGGATTCGAACTCGAGACTTTTTGGTTAGCAGTCTAACTCTCTAGCTCTCTATAGCTCACTCTAGCTAATCGTTACAAATTAAAAACCCAAGCTAAACGTCACAAATTGAAAACTCCAGTTGAACGTTACAAATAGAAAACAAGATCTCACCTGTAACTAGTGGTCACTCCTAAGACGAGTTACTTCCCTGTGGTCGTCTGCTAAAACTTGGCGCCCTTTTATACGGTCTTCCAGAAGTCCAGTTAGGCCTTACACATGACACAAGGTTTAGAATGAACTCGTTCTTCATTTTTTTTATAGCTGTAGGATTCAAAGGTGTAAAAATAAGCATGCGAACCTCTTCCTCCCCCGCCCCCCCCCCCCCTCCTAGTAAAGCATACGGTCCTGGAAACTAGTATGCCCCAGTAGCTACGGGACACGCGGTAAGATGTAGCCTTTGAGCCGGTAAAAAACTTGTTTGTTGTTCATTTAGCGAACGTTCAAAAGTCAGTCCGACCAACAATGGTAAATAATCGAAAGGTCGTTTGGCTCAAGTCTGACATTCGGGCGTGAGTTAAATATGAAAACTTAGCTCAGCTCTCTATGTGATCTATAGGAAAACTTAGCTCAGCTTTCTACGTTATCATTAGGAAACTTAGCTCATCTCTTTGTGCTTTCAATAGGAAAGTTAGCTCAGCTCTCTAGGTTATCTATAGGAAACTTAGCTCAGCTTTCTACTTTATCTATAGGAAACTTAGCTCAGCTCTCTGCTTTATCAATTCCCTTCATGGAATGTCAAATCTTTTTAACTCCCCAGCCCCACCCCCTTCTTATTACGACGAGACACACACACACACATAACAACAAATTATTAATACATTATCAGATCACATCATTACAGAGGAAATCTTTTGCTTCCTTATTTCAAACAGTTGAAGGGAAGGGGTTACAGAAATATTTATGTTATATATTATGTGGGAGGATGTCCCAGGAATTTTATATTAATTGTAAATTAATGTTCTATGTTAATTGTATATATTGTATATATATATATATATATATATATATATATATATATATATATATATATATATATATATATATATATAAATATATAATATATATTTTATATATTAAGTTGGGGGGGGGGGTGCGATTCCAGAAATGTTCTATTAATTTTGCATATAATGTGGGAGGTGGTTTCAGTAAATTTTATAATGTGGGATTGTGGTCTACTAAAATGATACTTTAACACGTATCACGTGTATCAAAACGTCTCTTCGTGTTTTAAATATAAGTGCACCCCCCCCCCCCAAAGTAGATTGCTTGTTTTAAGCATTCTTGGTTCTTCTTGCTTGGGTCAGATACGAGAAGTTGAATGGAGAAGATTTCGACTTACTTTTAAAAAGTAAGCCTGCTTTGTCTGTAGTTATGTAACAATTGGTCTTATTTTCGGTGCATTTTAAGACAAACCTTGCATGTAGTTGCTTGCGTGAGTACAGGGGTGGACTGGCTCGCCTGTCTACCGGCAAAAATCCCAGTCCCCCCCCCCCCCCCCCGCCCCCGTCAAGTAACTGCACTCTAATACTCCTATTAGTGTTAAGATTTTAAAAAAAAGTTTTGGTATTTCTCCATTTTACCATTTCCATTAATTCATACCAAAGCACATTGAAAATTTAATCTGCTTGTGTGTTTACGGTCGGCTATACATTACTATACAATGTCATGTGGATGTCGCAAGCAATCTTTGTCGTTGTTGGAGAGTAGAACGAGAAGGGAAGTAAAACTGCTCCTCTATTTGGATTTAGTGTCTAAATCATGCAAGGGATTATTTTTAGTTAATCGTAAAATTTCGAACAAGCTACGAAAATGGGCGACCAAAGGTAAATAAAATGTAGAATCAAGTTGACCTGCGCTTGCAGCTAGCACATCCTAGCGAGGTTGACGTTAAAATCAAATGTAAATCTTGTTCGGTGCCCTCAAGGGACACAACTTGTTTGTTTTTAATTCACCGGATCACAAGCCTTGCTAAAACTGGGGAAAATTTTAAAACTTTGGTCGCACATGATAAAAAAATCTGGCCAGGCAAGTGTTAAGTGGGACGATCCTGTCAGTCTGAAACCAACATTGATTTTGTTAATCTACAAGAGGTGAGTACACGCTTGCACCAGGGTGATCTCACGTGCAGCACCAACCCACGTGATCAGCAAACAGACACGTGGCCCGGGGTCATGACACAGTTTAGGATTTCTGGGGGAGGCTGTAGGTCAGTAGCTGTGTCACCCTGACCTACAACTTGTTAAAATAGCTCACATGGTCGCAATGATGTTTAACAACAAAATTCCCAGCTAGATTTAGTTGGGTTTGTTGCTAGATGTAGCTGACAGTGTAATACAAGCAGGCAATTGTGAGGAGCAAGTCGGAGGGAGGGGGGGGGGCTGGGACAGGGGGAAGGGGCTCATACAGGGGGGAGGGACTGGGATATGGAGAGGGTACGGGAGAGGCTTGGACTGGGGGTAGGGGTTGGGATAGTGGGAGGGGATGGGATGGGACAGGGAGGATGGGAGAGGGACAGGAGGAGGGTCCGAGGGGCTGGGACGGGAGGGCTGGGACAATGGGTGCCATTCAAGGGCCTACATACACGACATTCTGCAAACATAACCTAAGTATTTTTAAAGACCCTATTCATATAATTATACAGATGCTTGCCGTATAATAACAGATGGCTGTCAAATATTGACAAATAACTGTCAGAAATTGACAGATGGCTTATTTGTTAAATTTTCATCTTGCAATGTATTTTCTCCACGTACATGGCCTGTATACCTAAAGCAGCTGCTACAAAATGTTTTCCACAAGAAAAGAGCTCTCATTAACAACAGGTGTTTCTTTTACTACTGGATAAAAGACTTTTAAAGGTCGAATTGTCTATTCATGAAAAGTATTAAGTTATTTTGTTTCGTTGAAAAATGTACCGTTAACGGCAGGTTTTTAAATGCACATGTTTACAGCGCTGAACTTGAACGTTTGAACTTAGCAAACGTCTGGCTGATATTTACTCAGCTTAGGTACACTAATTTTGTTCCGTAATTTTTGGCCTCACAAAAATTTGAATAACTTCGACACGGAACTGTTTTTATTTATTTTTTCTCGTACTCTATAGGTCAAATAATATATTATTTAAAAAAAAAATTTTTAGTTTTTAAAAGCAATCAAAATCTACCAAAAAATAAAATTGTGCATACGAAAATACGTCATCCATTAAAATAGTCGAATAACTCTAACAAATTATGTGGTTACCTCCCCTATTCCCGGTGACTAAACTAAATAACAAAAAGACACATTGCGGCGGCGCATGCCGAACGTAACTATCATCAGAAGGAAATGTTTGCGACATAATCTCGTCAAAGTTCGCCATACTTCAAACATATCCTCGGCTCAAAGGATTATCTCGTAGCAGATTAGCAGGTGATATTCAAACGTTTGTAACCGTCTTTAGTGATCCTACGTCTGCTTGACTCATTCACACGCATATATATATATATATATATATATATATATATATATATATATATATATATATATATATATATATATATATATATATATATATATATATATATATATATATATATATATATATATATACCCTAGATGTATTTTGTTCGGGGGTGGGGGTGGGAAGAAATCTCCGGATCAGTATTTCTTCCAGACATTTTTTTTCTGCGGGGTTGCACTTGAATTTTTTACACTGGTAAAAGTATATATTTTCTATATAAATTCTATTCCGTTCGTGGGGTGGGGGGGGGGGGGGGGGCGGTAGACGAAGAGATGCCTGGGAGAAACTCCGCTACGGAGGGAGGGGGCACTTGAAAGTTTCTTTATCGAAGGGGGGGATGGGGAGATACTGCATAAAATGTATACTTTTTTTAAAATTTCAAATGTTTATTTCGTTCAGGTGGAGGGGGTGCAGTGCCTTAAGGAAACACTGAACAAGATTTTGTTTTACATCACACAGCAATGTAGGGCCCTACTGTGGAATACCTGACTCCAGCTAACGTTTTTACCCCTCAACTTGACTTAACCTCTGATTACATTCTTGCCGGTACAGACTAACTACACTCATTCAGTCAAAAATTTAGCACATTAAAAAAAAATAGTCCCGCTAATCTATAAATAGAGTTTGTTAAAAAAAAACGAAAGAAGACGAACTTCGACAAACATCCGGTACAATGACTCACATCATCTACGTGGTCTAATCTATATATATAATTCTCTTCTGGGAGCCGTTAGAAAACAAGCTGCAAGCGCCTCCTTGCAGTCCCCTCTCTTTCTCTCTATCACTATCACTACCACCCCCACCCCACCCCCACATTGTCTGGTGAGCTGTGGTCACGCTAAATGTTTACAAAGCTAAATCTTTACAAATCGTAGAGCCGTAGAGCCGGGTTTCTATTAGGGGCAAAATATTTTCAGTGGCAGCATTGGTAGTGTCGAATTCACAAATTATGAATTACTGAAAAGTAGAAAATAAAACAACTAAATAGCGGCGTATGATACGCTGCGGGTCGGCTCGTTTACTTTATTTTTCTTACATAAAAAATGTCTGGGGGGGGGGGGGGGGGGGTTGATAACAATTATTCTGTCCGTCAACCATCGCCTACGATCTACAAAAAATGAAGACAGTCTTCCAGTGGCTAACCATTTTAATAAGAGTCAACACAACATTCAACCCGACTTTTGTGTGACCGCTGTCCATTTTGACCATAATTTTAAAACACGGAAACACGGTTCAAACTACGCTTTAGCACTCAAGCACCAGATGACTTCAACGAGCTGGTATTTTTCATCTAACCCCCCCCCCTCCCTCTATATTGTATCTTCATTTGGAAATCGCGGTATTTAGACAAGACGTGTTTTTAATGTCGAGCTAAATCCAAAATTATGGTACCGTGTCTGTTTAGTTTAGTCTCGCACTATACTGCTTTGTGCTGACGAAGACTTTTGGTCGAAACGTCCATGGTACCTATAATAGTGCTTAATCTTCGGTGATATCAACACTGCCAGTTTTAGAACCATTTGCATAAAGCTCACTGAATGTACCATTTTTATTTGGTTAAAAAAAGCTTGACGTCATTTTTAGATGACCGTCAAGAGGTTGGTACAACAGCCTTATGGCAGCCAGTCAGATCCTTCAAAGGTTGGTACAACAGCCTTACGACAAACAATGCCGGTCTGATTGACAAAAGTTTAACTTATTTTTAGTACTTTGATGCATTATACGTTCCCTAATGACGTCATAGCGCACTGTTAGAGAT